CGGTCACCACCATGCGCGCCGGACACCACTCAACCGGACCTGTACTTTGTGCTGGACGGCAAAACAAGGCTGGTACACTCCGTGGCCCAAGAAGGCCCTCGACAAGTTCCGTCACGTCGGGTGCCCCCGGCAAGCAGCCATGAAGATGAGGTATGTGTGCGTTTGTGATGACAACTCAAGACTATTCCATTTTCTAGAACCTGCACCAAGTCCCTGTGGAAAGCACAGTCCGACATTGTGGCGTAATGGAAGCGCGCCTGCTTGCAGGAGGTCTGGGTTCGATTCCCAGCAATGCCATGGCTGGTCGTACTCTGTGTGGCGCCTGTCGCACGTCGTCACTCGAGATTTGCAAGACAAGGACGACAAGCTGGTGTGTTGTGAATGAAGTGTGCAAGCATTAATTGTGAAGTTTTGTAATGAATTCAAAGTTGTTTTGGTCTTATTGTGCTGCACGTAATGAGGATTGTTCGTCAGTCGAGTTACTGGTGACTTCAGGTTGATCGTGATCACTCGAATTCTCGTGGAGAATGTCTGCCATGTTTATAGGCGCATACACGGCAACTCGATGAAAGCCGGCGTACGACGAACCAGCCGGCAGTGCAGGTTGAGCGGCCTCTTCGCTGGCGCTGTGTTTGCTGCATGTGGCCCTGTTGTGGTCAATTCCAGTGCATTTCCGACACTTGTATGTCTTTCCCGAGGAAACCTTGCCTCGACTTGCAATACGTCGCTTGACGGGCCGACTAGCTTGACGATAAATAGGAGACGGCTTGACAACGCTGTCCGGTACAATGTCCTCATAAACTGGGAGAGCGATTGACTTTGCAAGGTACGCGTTGCAGTATGCTTCAATGGAGTTGGCGTAGTCGCTGCATTCATGGAGCAGACCCATCTTGTCCATGTGCAACAAAACCCGAATAATGTGACGGCAAGGAAGTCCAGTTTGGTCATTGTTGGTGCAAGTGCAGGACTTTACGCTCAGGACCACTTTGCGCTTTTTGGACTTACGCGACGGGTGGAACACAAAAAAACACATCGTCAGTCGACACAATGACTTTGTACGATGGAGCCAACAGCTTCTGTTCGTCAATGATGCCACTCGCATACGGGGTGACAACTCGGCCCTCAGACAACCATTTCTGGGCTAATTTGTTTCTGTGGGCGACGTCCCTTACACACTCGTCCATCCATATTAACACTGCCTGGGCAGGAAGCGACTGTCTGCACTTGTTGCGAAGAGTTTTATTGTTGTCGCTTTCGACAAAGTTGGTTGTTCGACATTTGTAGAGACGACGGCGGGCATGGTCGGTAGCGCTGCGCAAATTTGCAAACACAACCCTCTTGA